TCTGTGGACTCAGCAAGGCACAGAAGATCCACCTAGATCCATCTTATTCTTTTGTCTGTCTTTTTTCTCTATCCATCATCGCCCTTCCTCAGGCTTGTCAAACCCTTGGCTGTGCTGGCACTATACAAGTGGTGCCCAACTTGTGGCTGAGTGTGGTGCAAGTGGCACCCAATGCGAACCTGAGTGTGAGGGAACTGCAATTTTCAGGTGAAAGTGATAGATTAAAGTGATAGAAGGTAGACCGGAGACTGGGATATCAGGACACAGGCTTTATTGAAGGGAAGGGTACCCCTGCTGGCTGCTTCCAAGGAGAGGAGCGGAAGAGAGCGAGCTAGGAGCTTACAAGCACCTTTACGGATAGGAGGCGGGGCTTAGGGTATTTGGCAGGTGCTGATTGGTGGTTCAGTGCTCAGGAATGTCTGGCTGCAGGTGGGGTTTATGTCTGTTCATCAACTGGAAAAAGGGAGGATCTATCATTCCAGGCTTCTGGTAACATTTAAAAAAAATTGAGAGTCCGGGCAAGGTCAGGGGGCGAAGGTCAGTCTTCCGTAGCTATTTCCAGCTGTGAGCAGGCGTTGTCTTTTAGGGGTGTCTACCCGGAGTCTCAAAGATTCTGGTGTTCGGTTCTGAATTCAGTGCCAGATAGATCTCTCTCACCTTCTGGTTGGTGAACGCCTGCATTCTGTTCTGCAAGAAACTAGTGAAACAATGCATGAGACATGGGCCAAAAAACAAGATTAAGAGTATAAATACCAATGGGCCTAATAGTGGGAAGAGCCATGGGTATGTGAGCAAAAAGCAGGTAGTGTTTTTCTGTGCTGGTGGAGGGGTGTGCAGCAGCATGATTTCTCCAAGAGACTGGTCAGTGACGAGAGCAATCGTGTTGAGTCACTTGGGAGGTAAAAGCTGGTCCTGAGGCTGCCATGGCATCACTTGTCTGGTTTTGCCATTTCTTTGGGCCTGGAGCTGAAAGACAACCTGGGGGGTAGGATTCTTGGGGAGGTAAAAAGGTGGGACTCCTTGGTGTAACCCGGATTCCAGTAAGGACCATGGGCAGAAGGTCCGGCTAGGGGCTGCGAATTGAGAGAAAGAGAGAGAGAGAGAGAGAGAGAGAGAGAGAGAGAGAGAGAGAGAGAGAGAGAGAGAAAGAGAGAGAGAGAGAGAGAGAGAGAGAGAGAGAGAGAGAGAGAAAGAGAGAGAGAGAGAGAGAGAGAGAGAGAGAGAGAGAGAGAGAGAGAGAGAGAGAGTTTAGTTAGATGGTCTTTAAGAAAGTTGTTGCTCTTCTGGATCTTACCCGATGAATGTGGGTTTAGGGTATATGCAGTTTCCAGGAGATGCCAGGGATTATGTGTGTTATCAAGGTCTCAGCCACAACCTCAGCAGTTTCCTTTCAGGTAGGCAAGGCCTTTGTCTACCCTATCAGGGTGTCTACATGATGATAGATATTTGGTCTTCTTGTGTGGAGGCATATGGGTGAAGTCTACTTGCCAGTCCTGTCCTGGGAGGTGTTCCCTTCATTTGATGGGTAGGAAAGTTGGGGTGCATTCCTCCCTGGAGTGAGGCAGCTGCACACGTGGAGCAGAAGGAGCAGGCAGTCGTGACAGCCTCTCTCAGTATGGGAGAGGTGAAGAGTGATGAAGGCCATCTCCAGGGTCCGTTTGAGTGTTACAATTGTGTAGGAGGTTTTCCCACGTTCCTGGGGGTATAGACACAAGCTTCCATCCACAAACAGAGTTAAATCAGGATTAGAGAGAGGAACCTGAGAGTCCCGCCCTAGGTTGAGTGAGGGCCTCTGAAAACCTTGGGGCAGGAGTGCTTTGCTGCAGTTTGGGTAGAGGCAGCTGGAAGGAGTGGCTGGGTTCAGCGCTGGGGACTGGGTTAGGGAGATGTCAGTACTCTCAAGGAATAGAAGATGGAGTTCCTGCATGCGAGAGGGAGCAAGGAGAGATCAGGATCAGTGTGACGGAAAATCCTGTGGTCTATGGGTGGAGAAGACCTGTAAGGGTTGCTGGAGGTAGATCTTCTTGGCTTCCTTGATGAGAACAGTAGCTGCAACCAGAGTCCAGAGGCAGGGTTGTAGTCCCCAAACTGTGGGATCAAGCTGTCAGGACAGGTAGGCTATGGGGGTGAAGGCTGGCCCTAGGGGCTGGGTGTGGACCCCCATGGCTATTCTCTGTGTTCCATCAGTAAGTAGTTGGAAAGACTTAGATATGTCTGGAAAAGAGAGAGAGAGAGAGAGAGAGAGAGAGAGAGAGACAGACAGAGAGAGAGAGAGAGAGACAGACAGAGAGAGAGAGAGAGAGAGACCGAGACTAGAAGGGTGTCCTGGAGTTAGAAAAAGCTTGGCGAACGAGGGAGGGCGAGGAGACTTGATATAAGGGCTTAGCTAGGAGAGAAAAATTTGGGGTTCAATGATAGAGAAATCCTACCAGTGGAGGCCAGTTGTATGCCTCTGAGACGTGTAGTGCTGGGTTCTAACAAGCATTCTTGGAGGTCTTTGGGTAAGGCCTGGCCAAACAGGTGACTGTCTCTGAACCCCTGGGGCAGGATTGTCCAGGTGAGTGGGAGAAAGATGTGGAGCTGAAAGATTTCACTAGTGATATAAAAGGGGAGAATAGGTTACCATTGGAAGTAGGTTCTTGTTTTTCCAGTTTTGCCCCTTGCTGGGCATCTACAGGTTTCTTGTAATTCCTGAGACAGGGTTTCAAAGTAGGTAGAGCAGTAGTTACAGGGACAGGTAAAGACTGATTATTGAGGCTGCATCTACGTTGGGCGAGATAGATTAGAGTACAGGTTCCTGTCCAGTTGATGGGGAGACAGATGTATGAGTTTTCCCCACAGAGGAAGAAAAATCCCTGATGATGGAGACAAGCTGATAGGTGTAAGAAGAAGAGGTGGACTAAAGGGTAAAAGGGTATGAGATTCCTATTTCTAGTTCCGGACTTCAAGCTGAGAGAGTAGTCACCATGACGCTACCAATAAGAGGTGACAGATGAGTGATTGAGACTGTGTTGCAGTGAAAATGGGAGGGAAAGGGGAAGGAGAGGAGTAGTGAAAGCCAGGGACCTGGATGATTGGATAAGAGGTTAGAGACTATGAATAGTCTGGTTTAGCTTAAGAAATATCCAGCAACCTTGTCTGGAGACTGAAGCCTCACTTTCTTGCTGAGAGTACCTTACTCTCTTTCTTTCTTTCTTCTTTCTTTCTTTCTTTCTTTCTTTCTTCTTTCTTTCTTTCTTTTCTTTCTTTCTTCTTCTTCCTTCCTTCCTTCCTTCCTTCCTTCCTTCCTTCCTTCCTTCCTTCCCTTCCTTCCTCCTCCCTTCCCTTCCTTCCCTTCCTTCCTTCCTTCTTTCTTTCTTTTCTTTCTTTCTTTCTTCTTTCTTTCTTTCTTTCTTTCTT